ATATGGAGGCAGTGACAGATTTTACCTTCTTGGGCTCCATGATCACTGCAGATGGTGGCAGCAGTCATGAAATTAAAAGACACCTGCTTCTTGGGAGGAAAGCGATGACAAACCTAGACAGCATCTTAAAAAGCAGAGACATCATCTTGCCAAGAAAGGTCTGCATAGTCAAAGCTATGGGAGCATTTTAGCTATAGAGTTCTATTTTTTTAAGGAAGCAAACTGATTATGTTCAGCTTGGCTGTACCTTTTATCATCTGCTCATCCTATTAAGATTCAGAATTTCTACCTGATACACAATTGACTAAAATATCTAAGTGCAGCAGCATTAACATGACTTTTTGGCACAGCACAGTTTTATAAAAGAACTTAAGGCCCATCATGTAGGCAAAGTTTGGATATGGCAAGTACCATCAAAAGTTACCTAAAACTTAAAACTTAATATTAAAATGCCACTTTGTAAGTAATTAGGACCTTATAAATGGACCCAGTACAAGTTTATTAGCCTGAATCTTTAAGCAAGTTTCTACACACATAGGCACACTGAAGTTAAAATTCATTAGCTATACAAGTATTGCACCACCAATGTTGACAGAATGTGCACTGGGCATTTTAACAAACTATTAATTTCTGCTTTTCTTCTAAAAATATGTTGCTAACAAGGCAGAACATCCACCAGGAAACATTATTTTATCTTGAACTATGTGGACAGTATTGATATTTAAGCATTTCAGCTTTATGTTAAAAAAAGTAAAACCTACTGTACACTTTAATACACCATACCTTTCAACTGGAAAGTTGTCATATGCAATATAGAATGAATGCACGGGCCAATAATTCTATTTCTGTGCCACCAGAAATCTCATTATGTACCAATAATAATAATAATAATAATAATTCATTGTAACAGCAGTATCCACTAGCTTGGTGGGATCCAATGTGTGCAACATCTGCTACCAGCTGGGCTCCTTAACAACACCAGTTGAAGAGCTCTGTCAGACCGTCTTTCCTTTTCCCCCATGGCAGGGCTAGGGGATGCTGCAGTTGCTAAAAGGGCTTCTGTTTTTCTTGGTCCTTTGTTTGTTTGGTTTAAGGTTGATGACATCACCACCATTAAGCAAATTAGAATTCTGGCTGGAATGACTTCCACCTGCTGTGTTGAAGACACCTATATAGCATTGAAACAGGGAAGATAAAAGTTACACTTTTAATAACTAACCCCTTTCAAGTACAGAACATGCAAGTTTAAAGGTTTTATTTTCATTATTTAACTGGTACCTGGCCATCTGGAGATATTACCTACAGACTGTAAAAGTCAAATAAACTTAAAGCCATTACTAATACGTAACTTATACCACTTCCTCATCAGATAAAGGGGCTACAAGCTAAGATTCCGAAGACAATTTCTGTAAATAGATCCCATTGTCAAGTAACGTTTCAACAGAAAAACCAAACTGAAGTCAAGAGACAGGGGCACTCATACATACTCTCACTTGACAACATGGCAAGACAAGCACAGCTCAGAAATAAAACCCAACGAATTTCACTTTGAGAGGGCAACCACGTTACCAAAAACTGCTGAAAATACTACAGGTTTGGGGTGTGCCGATTTGCATTCCCTCCTCCCACTGATCAGCCTGATGCGACAGGAAACGTGAATCAGCCCAAAATTATTATTATTCTTTTTAAGGTTCTTCTGGGCAACACTCCTGTCATTTTATTTTTATTTTTTAACAGCTTAATCAGAAGCTGACAATAGAAATGGGGTGGGGTGGGGTGAATCCTGTCTCCTGGCCTTTGAATGCTGTTATTTGAACAGCACCACCTTCAGGTGTGTAAGAAGGACTGCAAGCAATTCCATTTAAGCGTGGCAACTGAATCAAACAGATCCAAATTCCCATGATGCAATGTAGTCACACCGAGTAAATCAATCAATCAATCAATCAATCCAACTGAAATCAAACAGATCCGAATTCCCATGATGCAATGTAGTCACACCAAGTAAATAAATAAATAAATAAACAAATAAACAAATAAATGTTCAGTAATCTCTACAAAAGGCAGTTTACAGAGCTCTTTTCATCAGGTGCCAGATACTTCAAGCCTTTTGTACACTTTTGCCAGCAAATTGACCAATATTGGAAACTACTGTACTTAGTTTTCAATTCTTTATCAGTAGGTAGGAAATTGTATATTTCCCATTCACTGCAAAACATCTACAGTATGTTCAACATTTTACGAGGAATGGCTGAAAAGGCCCAGCTAGCATTATTAGTGCTGAAATAGGACCATCCAGTAGAACCAACATGACTGCAATGTCTTCTGAGTCTGCCAAGCGTTCTGATTACACTTCCACTGAAACACACTGGAGACTTTGAAATAATAAAACAATCATGTGCTGTTACGTCAATTCTTACTTATGGCAACCCTTTTCAGGGTTTTTTCAAGGTAGACAGTACTCAAGAGTGGTTTACCATTCCTTACTTCTGGGCATTTTGGGACTGTGCAGCTTGCCCAAGGCCACACAGAATGGCTCTGCTCATAGGAGGAACAGTAGGGAATCGAACTCCCAACCTATGACTCCACAGCCAGATACCTAAACCACTGAGCTATCCAGCCAACTGGGACCCCATAATTAGCAGCACACTTTTTATGAGCAGCCATAATTGTCTGGCTGCAGTTTGTTGCTACATACATACCAATTTTATTACTACTTGTATGTACTATTTCTGGATCTTCAACTATTCGTTGTTTGAGTTTTTGAAGGTACTTCTCAGCCAAATATCTAAAAACTGAAGCATACAGAAAGCTACATTATGACATTTAGAAAAACAGTAACACACATTACTTACAGCACTCAAGCCAAAAACATCATTTAGTGGCACTAACTATGATCTGGTTTATAAGTGACAAAGCTGCTACAAACATTAGACACATTATGCATCCGAAGCTAATGACACCCGTGGAGAAAGGTGACTGCAATAGAGAATCACAGAACTGTAAACCAGGAAAGGAGCCCAAGGTGGATAAGAGTCTAGCTCCCTAAGAAAGCAGAAAATGTCTCCATGACAAATGGCCACCCAACCTCTGCTTGGATTATAATGGCCAGAATCCTGTTACTTAGGGCTCCTGGTGCAATTCCAACAGCACCAGTTAAGACGTTGATGCTTACTCTTCTCGTCACACAGGGATCCTATCACCTAGTGCAGCTGTCCCCAACCTTTTAAACCCTGCGGACTGGTTGGGGAAGGCGGGGCACTCCCCCTGCACTTGTGCGCATGTGTGAAGGAGCGGGTGCTCACTGGTGCACATGCGCGAAGCGGTGGGGGAGCGCTTGTGTGGGCGCAGACGCAGGTGCAAAGGGGCTGGGGGGAGTGCGGGCAAGGGGGAGTCTGTCTCCGCGGCCCCATCCAGCTCAGGTCACAGACTGGGGGTTGGGGACCTCTGACCTAGTGTACAACAGGAAAAAGCAGCACTGACAGGCAGCAATTGCCACCAAAATGGCCATGTTTCTCTCAACATTTATATGATTTCAGCCAGCGTTTGTGACATTTTTAAGAATCAGCATAAGAAAAAGAAACAGAAAATTGTAGCTGTGTTAAGTTCCCCTTACATGATGCCTGACCATTGGTCCTTCCTGCTCAGCACAGTTAGCATTAACAGGCAGCATCCTTCCCTGCAAGGTCTCCCCTCAGATGCTTTCGCTACCAATTAATTTGTCAATCAATCCTTTGGAACTGAGTGCAGCTCGGGAAAGCCTGGTTTCTGATCTGCAACTGTAGTTTATCAAGTGGTCCTCAGTGAAACTGCACAAAAGCCTTCTATGCTCATGCAGAGCTCCATATGGGAAACTCCTAAAGCTAAGCTAGAGTTCTGGCAACACTCTTCCCCCACCCCCGCCACCAGCCACCACAAAGCACAAAGCTCATTTTGCCGTGGTCTAGCTCTTGCTGAGGTGGAAAACAGGTCTGTGGGACGGACCCTTCCAATTGCAGATAGAAACTGCCGACAACTGCATGATCTGCCATCCAAAAGGGATTTCCTGAACCTAGAACATTAGGTATGTAGGAATGAAGGTACTCAGAGGTTTGTCATGCAAGTGAAAACTGGGCCTGCCTCTCGTGATGGAAAAAAGAAATTAAACAGAAGCAATACTAACAAATTAATGATTGGCATCTAAATAAATTATATCTCTGAATCAGCAGCTCCTCACCTTCTGTTACATTTAAGTCCTCTTTCACAGATGTTCGATAAAACCTTAATTTCAGCTTCTTGGCCAGTGCCTCTGCTTCTTCACTATTTACCAAACAAGGAAAAAAATGGTGACCTCAGTTTTTTTAGTACAACAGACAAAATTCACATTGAATGTAGTGACCTGTTTTGCTGAAAGTGGATTAGATTATTGAATATTAAGGCTGTGAAATGACTGGCAAGAGTAGAGCGCTGCATTTACTTGTTACAAGGAGCACAGAGAGAAGGAAGCTGAAGTGGATTGTGGGCTGGCAGAGAGAGCAAAACAATTTAAAATATCACAGCATTTGTATGAAATACAGAAGGCATCACATATAATGGGCAAAATCCTGTGCTAGCCTGATGCAATGTTAACTCTGAAATAAATGTGTTGGGTATGTAATTTTGCCATCTGTCATATGTCTCCAGCACAAGTGACAGTGTAATGCACCAGTGGAAGTGCTTCAGCCATCACACTTCCACCTTGGCATTTTTGCAGGCACATCTTCTGAGTTGCACACACATAACTACACAACAGAATTTTGGCCATGAAGTAAGAAATCCAAAACTACATAAATTCTGCTAAAGGTATCCAGAATAAAAATACTGTATGCACTTCTTGCTTATACAAACCAAGCCACAATACATCCCCTTTGGGGCAGCTGGTCCAAGACCCCAGTCCTACAGACACTGCTGAGAAGTCAGTCATATCAATTTCAGTAGGGTGTATGGCCCAATTGCACCTTTAAAGAGTATCAATTAGAAGATCTAAATAAAGAGTGTCAGCCCCATTTCTTGAACTGGAAACCTGTCCCATTCAGATGGTATGTAAAGTGAGGGATGGGGTGTAATTCAAAGACAAACCGAATAGGATTGTTGGCCACTTTTGTCTGTCCTGTCCCAGCTTTCCCTTGCCAAAGCCAGAATCTGTGTGTGTTTAGTCGTTTAGTCGTGTCCGACTCTTCGTGACCCCATGGACCAGAGCACGCCAGGCCCTCCTGTCTTCTACTGCTTCCCGGAGTTGTGTCAGGTTCATGTTGGTTGCTTCGCAGACACTGTCGAGCCATCTCATCCCATCCCATCTGTGCCAATACTTAAAAAAAAAAACTTACCTGTAGGGACAGAATGCAGAGGGAAGAAGAGTGGGCAGGGAAGGACCCAGCACCACAGGTCAAGATAACCCTTTTCTCAATTGAACTCAGCCCCACCTTATACAGGGGTCACTCTGCTTACATTTTTTTTTGCAGTTTGTGATCAGCTTTCCTTTTTTAATTTATTTTTTATTTTTTGGTTGACATACCATCTGATCTGATCATTATGTTGGTGATCTCTCAGCATCAGCAGCAGAGTGCCCGCAGATTTGAAGTGTAAACAAAATATAGCTTTAAAATTGTAATTTGGCAATTGAGATTGTTATTCTGCGAAAGGGCTGGGAAAAGAACTGAAAAAGCAAGGGTAATCTTGTTTACAGAGACTTCTGCTTAGGCCCAGGCTGAAGTGGAGCTACCTGTAGAGATACACTTTCCTGCCCTTTGGAACTGGTGTTTCATTTGGATTCAAATTATAATGGATGCCCACAGATGAAGGTGAATGTGTCTTCCCATATTTGCCATTCATATGCAACTATTTTAGTCACTTAAGTGACCATAAAACTGATTTCATAAAGCACCATACCAACACTTACTTCTTTATACAAGAATAATCCAGGAGGTCAATTTTATTTTGAACAAGCACTGTAGGAATGTCTCCAACTTCTGACACCACTTTTTCCTTCCAGGTAGGGATTGCTTCAAACGACTCTCTGTCAGTGGTTGAAAATACAAGCACACAAGCTTGGGCTCCTAAAAAACAAAATTAATATACAATAGTAACTTCTGGATCAACAATAATGCACTTGCTTTCTGGAGAAGACCAGTTTCTTCTACTTTGTTCTAGTAGAGTTAGTATCTTGATAATTTGTGTTAGATTTGGGACTAAAATTCAGAAATGAAGGCTGCTTTATCTTACAAATATTTACCTGGGCATGTGCTTCACTGACCACAGTGGGACAGACTCAACCTGTATGGCACTCTTAGCTGCTAATGTTTATAATCAGGTGCTCAGATCCTAAAAGGTCAGAAAGCTATGAGCTGCATTATTATAGGGAAATGATACAAAGAATACTTTCTATGTTTTGGAAAATTCTTTCACCAGGTGAAAGAACAGTGTGAAAACTTCCCTGCTAATTTTAAAAACAATAAAAACCTTTTACTTTCAAAGCCAATATGCTTTGTACAAGACTCATAATTGCTTTGACACTGTCTTTTTGCACTTACACATCTATGTTTGGATATTTCCTGATAATCTTATTTTCATTATATGAATATATCCAATGTGAGCATAAAAAGCAGTTTTGCTTTAAAATGCTGAAAACAAAACACAGCGATTCTTTGTGCATTGACTGCAGACTCCATCCTCTATATTTTCTACATGATCAAGTGACTAACTCTAACTTCTTCTGTTTTGTTAAATTACAAGAAAGAAGACTGTAATTCAGGCTTTGTGGACCATGCAGCAAGAAGGGGATCTTGAATTTCAGAATCAAAGCTTAATTTGTTTATGCTACAGTTTAAAGAGAATCATGTAATGAGCTCCTTATCAGGAGTGAAATAGATGAAGCTGAACAATGAGCATCGGTTTTTAGTATTATATAAGCCAGCCAGCCATGACATTCTATCCACCTTGCTGTTGCAAACAGTGAGGGGAAGGTAATTTTACACTGATATGCACTCTAACCAAGTTCTGAACAGTCAACTCTTGTACTATGAACTTGTGTACTTAATGGAACCTTAAACCCTGCATCTTAGCTGAAGTCCTTAGCAGTGCTGTACAAAAAACCAGCAAAGTCTTACTTAAGAGACATATAATAGTAATAATTGTGTCCCATCAAGCCAATTCTGACTTATGGTGACATATTCTCTTTCATTTAGTGGGAACCTCCATTATTAAAATAATGTAATTAATATTATACAGACTTCACACAGTTTAAGACAGTAGCAGCACTCACTTAAACACTTGGAGGAAAATTTTATAGTGACACAAGTAACATTTAATTGGCAATTATTTATGTACTGTATTACATTTCACATCAATTGACACTGTCAGCGGTTGTTCCAAACATACATAAACTCAAGACATGCTCAGAAGCCTTCTATAAGGATAAAAGACTGGGTAAGAGAAGGAAGAGAAATCGCGGAACTTGCTCTCAAATCGGACTTAAGTCACATCAGTGACTTGACTTGTTTTTTGTTTTTTTTTTTTTAATGACTGGCTTTGACTTGTGACTCTGAACCCACACACCCCTCCCTTTTTGGGGAGGGGGGAATATTGTTTTCAATAAAGACTCATACTTGGGGCTTGGGACTTAGGAATTGGTACCAAAGACTTAGACTTGCACTTGGGACTCGAATCCAAAGACTTGTCAACATCCGTGCCCTTAGGCAACTCTGCAGGGGAACAAGGTTCTGCCCCAGAATTGCTAAACTCTGAAAGTCTCTTTTCAAAAATGTTTCAATTATGTTGACAATGTACTTTAAAACCTTTTTTCAATACTTTATAAAAAAAATACAAAATACCATTTCAAAGTTTATTACTAAAAAAAAAATATTTGCTAAGGCAAATATAATTGGTCTCCAACATAACTTACAAAAGCATAAACAAAAGATTTATATTAGGGAGATCAATAAAAGTTATCAGAATCCTGAAGTATTTACACACCTGGATTTACAGGTCTTAGTGATTCTACCTACCTCTGTAATAAGCTTTAGTAATAGCATCAAATTCTTCTTGACCAGCAGTATCCCACAGCATCAGTCGGACATCTTCATTGTTGACTCTGAAAACAGACATGTAAACTACAGTGGTGCCTCGCTTAGCGATTGCTTTGTTTAACGATGTATTCGCTTAACGATGGGTTTTTTAAAGAATTTTCTGTATCGTTTAACGATGTTTCCTATGGGCAATTTTCGCTTAGCGATTTGGGGGCCATGCTTCGCATAGCAAATGCATTTTGGGTCTCCTGTTTCGCTTAACGATGTCCGTTTTTGAAATTTTAAAAGTGTCTTAAAATGTCCAAAAACTGTTTTAAATGCTTGGAATCATTAGTGCACCTTCTAAAACGTGTGCAAAGTTAATTTGGTTTTGTTCTGACTCTTCGTTAATTTTTGGTGAATTCCCCCCCCCCATTGAAATGCATTGAACCCAAGTTTGACAGCTGTCAAACGGGCATTTCAATGCATTCCAATGGGGGAGAAAAAAATTCACCAAAAATTAACGAAGACTCAGAAACAGTATTAAATGCTTGGATTCGTTAGAGCACCTTGTAAAACATGGGCAAACTTAATTTGGCTTTGTTCTGAGTCTTCGTTAAAATTTGATGAATTTTTCCCCCCATTTAAATGCATTGAACCTAAGTTTGACAGCTGTCAAACGGGCACTTCAATGCATTTCAATGGTGGGGAAATTCACCAAAAATTAACGAAGAGTCAGAACAAAGCCAAATTAAATTTGCACACGTTTTAGAAGGTGCACTAACGATTCCATGCATTTAAAACAGTTTTTGAATATCTTAAGACACTTTTAAAATTGCAAAAACGGACATCGCAAAACCATTGAAATGCACTGAATAGGCTTCAATGCATTCCAATGGGGGAAACATTGTATTGCTTAGCGATGTTTCCTATGGCGATTTTCACTTAAGGACGGCAATCCGTTCCTATTGGAATGGATTATTCGGTTTTCAATGCATCTCTATGGGAAAACGTGTTTCGCTTAGCGATGTTTTCCCATAGCGATTTTTTTTGAACCAATTAAAATCGTTAAGCGAGGCACCACTGTATATGTAAAGGCAACTCTGGGTGGTATCAGTTTCATCCAAGAGTGCCTGTAGCTTGGTCAGTCACAAAAAAAAGCCACATCATAAAACACAACTAAAGATTCAAAATTAACATAAAATAAAAATAAACAGTGAATTTTAAAATACATAATAAAACGCATAAAACATTTAAAATGGTGGTAGTCGGTCACATTAAAGGCTAATAGTTTCAGTGGTCTCTATAGACTGAATAGTTTGAAAGGCCTGCTGAAATAGCGAAGTTTTTAATAGTTTTGTGAAGGTGATTAACAAAGAAGCCAGGCAGACAGCAGGTGATAGTTCATTCCATAGCAGAGGAACGACCACTGAGAAGGCCCAATTCCTTGTTTTTTCCCTCCAGGCCTTTCTTGGGGTCAGCATCATCAGCCGGGATTTACAGGTAAGATGAGCAGAACCAACTGGAAGTAGACATACTGAGGTCCCAAACTGTTTAGGGCTTTGTAGGTTAGAAACATCACCTTGAAACTGGCACAGAAACAGACAGGTAGCTATTGTAAGGTGGCCAGAATTGGAGAGATATGTTGGTATTTCTTAGCTCCACTCAGTAACCTGGCCACCATATTCTGGACCTGCTGAAATCTTTGTATCAGTCTCATGGATAGCCCCACATCTTACAGTACTCTATTCTAAAGACAACCAGTGTGTGGCCCAATGTGGTGAGGGATCTGGTGTCAAGGTACGGGTGCAGTTTAGCAATATGCCTGAGATGGACCACAGATGCTATCTGGGTGTCCACTGACAATGCTGGGTCCAAAAAAACCACACCAAAACTGTGTGCTTCATTTTTGTGGAGAGAGTGCCCCACTGTCATGAGTTCAGCTGAAGATCCGGAACCTGAGGGGTTAACTGTAGCTGAGGAGAATGCTGAGCGATTAAAAGCACAGATAGCTGAATCACCACCACATTCTCCTCCCCCAGTAGCCAGGGTAAGGGCTAGGCTTTGGCAAAGACTTATGACGCAAAGGTCAGAGGATCGCCTGAAGGCTGCCCGCAGAAACATCAGATCAGCTAGTCCTGAGTTTTGACAGAATGAAAAGGCTTCCAGCAGTTCAATGACTGTTTTGCTATAAATCAGCTCCCAGACGGCTGGGAAGCTCCTAGAAACAAGAAGTCAATTCCTCTGGCTCGCATCCACACTGTTGCTCATCTTGGACCTTGTCTTCTGGACCCCTGGCTTTGCACTCTGACTTCTGACTATGGTTTGTGTTTTGGCTTTGGCATTTTGGGTATCTGTTTTGCATCTAGTGGACTTCTGACATTGGACTGGTTTATTGGACTTTTGCCTGTTAAAACCCCTGGGAACGTGACACCCACCAACAGAAAGGGAGGCACCCAATCTGCAAACAGGAGGGGTATCCACCCTAAGGACCTCCGTTTTGTCCAGATTCAGCCTCAGTCTGGTATTCCCCATCCACCCCAGCACCCAGGCAGTGCTCAAAGGACAGGACAGCATCCACTGCAGAAGGAGGGATATAGTTGAGTGTTGTCTGCATATTGGTAATACCAAATCTCCAGATGACCTCCCCCAGTGGCCTCATACAGATGTTAAACAGTGACAGGGAGATGATCAACCCCTGAGGGACTCCATAATTGAGAGTCCAAGAGGTGGAAACCATCTCCCCTAGTTGCACTCTCTCTGGATGGTCCTTGAGGAGGACTGGAGCCAGGATAGAAGCACGCCAGCAATCTATAATCTTGAGAGCCTCCCCAGGAGGATAACTCTGGTCAATGGTACCAAAGGCTGCTGAGAGATTGAGCAGGACCAGCAGGGACACTTTGCCCCTGTCAGCCTCCCTCAAGAGGTCATGTTTCAGGGTGACTGGGGTACTGAAGAGAGCATACCACAGCAATTGGCTGATCATTGTGAGCAGTTTTCCGTGTATTTTGTTAAGTCCATTAGACTTTGACTTGAACCCTAGTTCAGAGAACTTTGGGTAGTGTGGGCAGCATATAAATTAAATAAATAAATAAATAAAATCTGAGCAGCCTAAATAATGTAATTTTTGCAACCATCTTGTAAACTGAGACACTTTTCAGATCTCTACAAAAAGGTGACAAATTCTTTTTTTAAATTAAAACCTTTGTTAAACAAACCTGTCATTGAACTAGAAGCTCTGACTAATTAATTGGTGCTGGGGGCATTACACTGCAATGGTTCACATTTATTCCTTGTAAGGCTATACTCAAAAGGTGGCATCAAGGGAACCCTATTAGACACCAGAGCCTTTGATGCATGATGTTCGTCAAGGTTCTACTCTGTCCCCTGTATTATTTAGCATCTACACAAAGCTGCTGGAAGCGGTCATTTAAAGCTTTGGTATGATATGCCATCAATACGCTGTTGACACCCAACTCTATTGCTGTTTATCTTCTGACACCAAAGAACAGTCAGGACCTTGAATACTGCCTTAGCTCACTAATGAGCTGTATAAGAGTGAATAAGACATCAAGAAGAGGTGGCAAGAATACACAGAGAAATTATAACAGAAAGATTTGGATATCCCGGACAACCCAGACAATGCAGTTGCTGACCTTGAGCCAGACATCCTGGAGAGTGAAGTCAAGTGGGCCTTAGAAAGCCTGGCTAACAACAAGGCCAGTGGAGGTGATGGCATTCCAGTTGAACTATTTAAAATCTTGAAAGATGATGCTATTAAAGTGCTACATTCAATATGCAAGCAAGTTTGGAAAACTCAACAGTGGCCAAAGGACTGGAAAAGATCAGTCTACATCCCAATACCAAAGTAGGGCAGTGCCAAAGAATGCTCCAACTACCGTACAATTGCACTCATTTCACACGCTAGCAAGGTTATGCTCTAAATCCTACAAGGTAGGCTTCAGCAGTATGTGGACCGAGAACTCCCAGAAGTACAAGCTGGATTCCGAAGGGGCAGAGGAACTCGAGACCAAATTGCTAACATGCGCTGGATTATGGAGAAAGCCAGAGAGTTCCAGAAAAATATCTACTTCTGCTTCATTGACTATGCAAAAGCCTTTGACTGTGTGGACCACAGCAAACTATGGCAAGTCCTTAAAGAAATGGGAGTGCCTGACCACCTTATCTATCTCCTGAGAAATCTATATGTGGGGCAGGAAGCAACAGTTAGAACTCGATATGGAACAACTGATTGGTTCAAAATTGGGAAAGGAGTACGACAAGGCTGTATACTGTCCCCCGGCTTATTTAACTTATATGCAGAATACATAATGCGAAAGGCTGGACTGGAGGAATCCCAAACCAGAATTAAGATTGTCGGAAGAAATATCAACAACATCCGATATGCAGATGATACCACTCTGATGGCAGAAAGTGAAGAGGAATTAAGGAACCCTGTAATGAGGGTGAAAGAGGAGAGTGCAAAAAACGGTCTGAAGCTGAACATGAAAAAAACTAAGATCATGGCCACTGGTTCCATCACCTCCTGGGAAATAGAAGGGG